TATATTGCTGGTGTATTGCACGTGTTCTTTTTGTTTGTCACGTGCTTTATTCTATTCACACATGAGTTAATTTTAAAATAATATGCGAATCGGATCTAGAGTTTAACTGAAAATGATGGTTTTCATTTCGTGAACTTTGACAAAAATAACAATTGAATATAATATATTATTCACTGCATAATAATAATACATCATCCGTTTGACAGCTCTCCAGTTTTCAGCGAATACTTTTACTACCTAATACACAATATCGGCCATATTATTCAGCTGACGTGAGGGGTTCAATCATACGTCCTAGTTTTTTTTTTTTTTTGGCACATCTTACGACACAATTATATTACCTCGCAGTATAACACTTTATCTTATACTTTCCTGAAAATAACAGAGGTGCATAATATTACGTTCATCATAATAATACTATTTGATATTTACTTTCCTAAAAAGAAGGCGTTAATAAAATTAATATTTTTCTGGCCACGTGAACCGCGTGTTATGTAAACAGTGAAAATCGTTAACTTATATTATATTTACCAATCTGCAGATAATTCCCACTACCATAATAACAATACATCTATCGATGCAAATTTTTCGTCTTTATGCCACGGCGTTCATTATATAACCAATTACCTAGGTTTATTTGTCGGTATCCTATTGTATGTTATAATATTTTATTTTAATTATACAATTATGATTACACGGCGTTATGAATAGGCTATTTAGGTGCATTGCATTAAAGGTTCATTTTTTCAGTAACCCATAAACCGTGATTCTATTATTATTATTTTTATTGAATGAATCTGTAAATTGGTTTTTAAAATAATTATATTTTTGGCGCTTGTTTATAACCTTTTTAGTATCTATAACACGAATAGAGAAAACAAATCAGAGACCATCACCTCTAAGTAAACTATAAAGCTTGAAGTCTTATATAGTCATTAGGTCTCTACACCAATCCCTATTAAGTCGTGAGGGGGAAGGGTGTGGGAGAGTTTATCATGGATGGATTCAGCAGAGAAATTGCTCATTAGTGAATTCATGTGATTTTTGGAGGTAATGTTTTAATACTTAGAGTTCTTAGATAATTTCTAATATAATTATAATTATCGTGTTTATTAGTTTATTTGTTTCACATATATGAAACATTATATATTTAGCAATATTTTTTATTAAAATCATACTAAATTTATCTAGAATCTAGGTTGACAGAGTAGATATTATATTGATTAAGAAGGAAATAAGGTGTAACACATTAGGCACAAATTAGTACATTATTATCAATGTATATTAAATAATGAAAAAATATTAATTCAATTAAAAATCATTATTATTTCATAATTTCAAACATCAAATATCTAGAATTGTTTAGTTAACCACTACCGCGATGGTGGTGACCTGACTACCTATATATTTTATGTACTACACTTATAATATATGTTGTGATACAAGTATTTCAAACATCAAATCCTACTACTTTGCTATAAAAAAAAATGCACCAACAGTATGATTAAATGTTTTATAATTTCATATCAAATCATAGACTATGCTATTTATAAGTTTAATTAAGAAATGCGTGGTGTTACATTAAACGTTTCCTTCTCCACAGATGACTATTCTCTTTGAGATTTTTTTTTTTCATCTCGGCTGTCTATCATTTTACTGCATAACTTCCTTTTGCAATATTATACAATTGAAACATCGGTAATTGTACAAAGTCTTAGCAGGCTATGCTGTAGAATGGTTTTTTTTTATATATGTCGTTTTATCTAACGAATCGGTAAACATACCGGTAAGTAGTGCCTTTGCAAAAATAATCTTTGTAAAATGTGAGCCGAACAACACGTTTGATTATTTATCGATAGAGTTATGCTGCAGGTTAAAATTTGATATTATACCTATATGTTGATTCACCTGAAAACATGTTTACCCCATTTGTTTTCTTTTTATATTGAATTTATTTAAACTCTGATACCCACTCAAAGACTATATTATATTATGACTATTATGTAGTATTTTCAAATATTTAGATTTTCATGCTATTATTTGGTCAGTCCTGATAAGATAAGTAAATTATATGGGAAAATATAAATGTATAAAATAACTGAACGCGGTCCTCGGCTTTGAGTAAACTTAAATATTTCAAACTTTCAAATTTAAACGAATTCATTATGAAAGAAAAAAATGAAAGTGAGCATACTCGGTGAATCACACAATGTCATCTGTTCCGAATTGGTGAGATGACGTATGAACGTTACGATCACTACGATGACGGACGTTTTGGCACGCATTCAGGTGCCAAAAATTCATAAAATATATCATAATACATTTATTCGTTCAAATAACGCATTGCTTATACTTAGGTTATGAACTACTTCACCGGAGTACCGCGTATGACAAACAATTCACGTGATGGTATAGATCAGATAATATTTAGGATATATATGTTTCTCAGGGGCAGGTACCTATATCATATTAATGTTTCGTATTTGTATATAAATATAGGATTCACACATATCATATCTACGTGAATATTGCATAAACAAAAAGCTTCGCGCATAATAAATGAGGTTTTTATTTTTTCGATTAGTATAATGGATAGGTACGAACTTTACTTTATGTCTTTGTGGAGTTTCTCCATAAGAGATGCATATATCCTCGTAAATTCTGCAGGTGACATGGACAAATTATCATTTTGCCCGTTTGTGTGATGTGACTGCAGTGCGAGTTGTCCAAACGACATTGCAATACAATATCGTATTTCCATTATTCTGCAGAGACGTGTTTATTTTTAGGATGTCACTTTTTAAATTAATATACTTAACGATCGTAGTTTATAATTATTTCACAACGCTATAGTCGAACATTTAGTCGCACTCCACACACGTCATCGCTGAACATGTTGAACCATGTCGAAAACAGTTTGATGGCGAAACGAAGTAAAAATCCAATAGCGGTTGCGGGTTTCTGTACCGACCGGTAACGACAAAAAAATATTCGCGGTCGCCGAATTTCTACCATGTATAGTATAAAAGGACGGCCGACTTTGTACCATGGTAGTGGTAAAAGATTTTGCACTGCGGTAATGGTGACTGATCTTATACCGCTACCGTGGCGACTGCCGTCCATCTTTATATTAAAGCCGTGACAGCTATAGACGACTGCTGCAGTTTTCTCCGTATCCATCAGTGCCGTCCGATTCTCAGCGATTAACGTTCAGCCATTTTCCTTTGTTGTCGTTGTTGTTGTGCAGTGAGACTATATAAGTTTCTCGCGAATCGCTCATCGCATACCTACATATTTTTGCGCACCTTTCGTCACTTTGCAGTGTCCGATGAAATACGTGTCGAACGTTCACCGAAGATTATATTATACTATCCGAAGCTGGGCGTGCCAACTACTTACATGTCATGACGGGTATGTTATTAAACTGTTAACAGGTCTCTCTTGTTGTGTTGTATAGGGATGATATAAACAGTACACTATTATACACTTAGCATTATATTATACAGTATACGCTTTTGCTACCGTTATTTGAGTCGTCGAAAACAATAGTTATAAACAAAAAGTTGTATTTGATATTATTATGCGATGTCTGTGCGTTTATTATTCAATAAATCAGCAAATAACAGATGGCATTTGCTGTAGAGTTGTATTTGTGATCAATTAAAAAAAAAAAAGTAAATAAGTAGTAAGTTCGATTGCACATTTATATATATAGCAAAATTCGCGTTTCGCGTTCTGTCTGTGAACTTTTGATGCGGGTATACGATGTAGAATTTAAATTATTATATGTATGATTTAACCAAATATCAAAAAGTGCGGTTGATCGTGCTTGAAAAGTGCAAGTATATACAAGTTTTATTAACGTATAAAAAATTATTATTACCTCAATGGAAAGCGTTTCATAGAAAAAAAAAAAAAAACGTTCGTCTACGGAAACCGCAGACTATAATATAATATAATATTATATGCCAATGGCCAGGTTACCTACGCCATAACTGTAATCCTGCATTGAGTGACGTTTTCCAATTTATTAGTTGAAAATCTTACACACAACTGTGACGCAGGATCAACGTCCAATTAACGTAACCTAACCTAACCTAACGTAAACGGACTATAGTTTAAACTATAATATTGCATATCATTTCATCGTCCCATCGTTTTTTTCACCATTTTTCATATATGTGTTTAAGTWACCATCGGCGGCGCACGAGATGCCAACAATATTTTTATACATTTTTTTCCCGGTTCGTCGTACGCCAAACTCGCGGAAATTGTGGATCCGGTGGAGGTCGTACACGAATTTCCATTAAAATCCCATAACACCTCAGCGTGTTAGTGATAGAGCGAGGAGGTGGTGTTTTGCTGTGTACGACGGCGCACCAACTCACACGCACCATCAGTGGCCGAGGTTATTACGGTGGCGGTTTTGGCCGAGGTGGCACCCGTTCGCGCTTAACCTCACGTGTGTGAACGCCTCTTAAGCTATATACCAAAAAAAAGCACATGTGATCGTGATTGACATGCAGCGAATCGTCGGACAGTGAAATAAATCGGCCGACCTTATTCATGATACCGACGTAATGATGTCCACATCAAATGAACCAATCTAGCGATCTCGCTGCGCCCGTAAATAAATAAATAACAAAAACCATAATATACCGTGTTGTGTGTGTGTGTGTGTGTATGCGGCGTTGGCTCAGTGGTATATACGCGTGGTATAGGTGTCGGCCGGTGGCGTGCGGAACAAGCGTCGCCGCTGTCGGCGACAGACACGCGAGGCCACACACACCGGTACATGCATTACGGCAGCTCCGGCGTGGGCGGCGGGCTGGTAGCGTGCGTGTGCGTGTGCTTGTGTGTGCGCGCCGGCCGCCGATCGATACGCCGGCAGCACGCAAGCGCCGCCGGGGACGCGCGGCGGCTGAGCGTCGACGGCGGCCGCGCACCGGCGACCAGACAGCCACTGCTGCAGCGAGCAGTCCGTCGCGGCCCTGTGCGCTACACCGCCGTCATACGCCGAGCCCCACCCCGCCCGCCAGCCCGAACCGTACGCAGACAGACCGTCCGTCGTCGCTGTCGCGTCGCGCACACAAAACCGTTGCCGTCGAGCGACGGCGCCCGCGCTCGTCCATCGCAACGCGCGCGCGCGCTCGCCCCCCGTCCGCGGGGCAGCATCATCGGGGCACCACCAGCGGGAGGGCAAGAACGTCAAGCCAGCAGCCGCCGCCGCCGCCGCCGACCAACCAACGACAGCGGTGTCGTCGTCGTCGTCGTCGTCGTCGCTGCCGTCGTGTACGCTTCGCGCGCGCAGTGTCCCTCTGGCCGCCGTCGTCGTCGTTGTCCGCGTCGCCTTCGTGTCCACGTCGTCGTTTCCGAATCTCGTCCAACCGACGTCGCGTGTGCCGTCGTCGCGTGTGGCGGGCGCGCCACCCGCTCGCTCATCGTCCGTTCTACCGTGCAGCAGATGAGCGTAGCCTGCCGACGACGCTGATAACCCTTTTTCGCGCAGACATGTGCTCGTGCCGCCGTGGTCTGTGCCGGCCCGAGAGTCTGCCGCTGCTGCTTACCGCCACGGTCGACGTCTGCACCGGATATCCGGATCGACGATCTGACGGTCCGCTGTGTTGTTGAACGAGCGATCAGGTCGTGTCGCCATCACTCGGTGGTACTAAATATACCGTTACGCACCAACACTCGATAAGACCTACGGCCGTTTTTCCGTCCAAGCACGTGTGAGTTGTTTTTATCTCCTTCTCCTCTATCTTACTCTCTCTCTTTCTATCTCACACAAACACACACATTCTAATTTCCTCTCTCTTTATCCTCTGCAGTTTACTTGTCTATATCATCTCACCTTTTCGATACTCACCTACACCCTTTCCAAGTTATGTCTTATTATTATTATTATTATTATTATTATGTGTTTTACTTTATCGTTGTTACGGCACAACCGGCACGCGCCACGCATTATCGCAAATTATGTTATGTGTATAATAATATCTATATACATATGATATATACACACGCCCAGCTAGCGCAAATCGATCGTCTCGTTCATTTTTCTTTATATTTTTATTATAATATAATATGTTTGCTCTATAATCCCCTCGCGGTTTTTCTGTTTAAACACGTCCGGGAGGATAAACTTCGCGCGTGGTATCAATATGATAATATTATACGTTTCGTGTACAAAGTCAACCCGATCCGTACTAAATAATAATATTTTATTGGACACATTTTGAGTACTGAAAATGCACTGTCGTAATATTTCYCCGCGTGGTCGTGGCACTATATAGGTACATATAAATATATAAACGGTTTCATGTAATACAATGTACCTATATGTATACTATAGACGAGTTGCATAATAATCGGTGCATATTAATAGGTGTTGTCGTTGTAGTCGTCGTTCTGGTTGTTGTTTCCGTTTGGTTAAAGCTCTTTTGGAAGAATATTTTTTTACCACTCCAAAAGTTACGGATTTGGTTTGTTCAACTATATATTATAATAAGAGACTTTGTGAACCCAACGACGAAACTCGAAAGATCACGTTTCGCAAAAAAAAAAAAATGAAATCCTCGGATTGTCGTCACGCGCGCATTTTCGTCGAACTACATAATAATATATAGCTATAATACACACTATCGTTTCCGGCGTCTTTGCGATCCAGTACACATCGCCGTAAAAAACACGTTTACCACCCTGAATCTGAGTCTCTGTGTACCAGTTATTATACTATTTTAATCGTTTTGAATCGTTCGTATACAACTCATTTTCGTTTAAACGTTTACAATATCGGCATAGTCACTATATATAGATAAATAATATTATGTTTAAACACGTCCTTCCGAACGGCACACGATGGTTTAACTTAGAAAATTGAACRCTTGTCTAGTGTAAACAATTCACCTGCTAAATAACACTCGTTCGTCTTATTTATTTTTTCCAGTACAACAAAAATATGGTTGGCATCAAGACGATTTTTTCTTCACTTTCCGTGTTTTTTCCATATTTTTTTTTCTCGAAAGAAATTCTTTGAATATGCACAAATATATCGTTATCGCTCACAACTTTTTTTTGTTTTTATTTCTCGCGCTTCTACAAAAAGAAAACTCCTTTGTTGTGTACGCTGTGTAGGTATATTGTTTTCTAGAAAATTACTTAGGTGAAATTTTAATGGATGCAACATCTACCTATACCATTATTCAAGAGAATATTTCATACTGGTCGTTGTTATCCAAACAATTAGCCAATTAATTTACCAAACATTTGTTACAATTATTATCTTCACGCATTTAACACGTTTCCAAAATTCCTGAATAATAATAATTATAATTATTATGTAGGTACATGCAGTGACCGCGATTATTCTATACCCTGCAAAACAGTATTTCAAATATTTATTGTTTATGCAATAAATAATAATCTACATTAATTTTAATATACATTCATAAATTTATGATCTTGTTTAAAAAGTTATTTCTATCACATATGATTATTCTATAAATACATTTGACAAAATATTTTCAGTATGAAAAATAATATAAGTGCAGTATAGTTTTATGTGTAGACAGTTACTCAGTAAATCATTATCTTAAATATATCTTTTTAAATCTTTTCTGATATGACGTGTTTCATGAATAATTATCGTGAAATACTCTATGGGTTTCTTTTTGATGGTACTTTCGATATATGGTTTTACGAGAAGCACATAAAGTAACAAATAAATTACTTACGTCACGCAACTAGGGTTTTTAAAAGTAGATCTAACATCTAAAGCGTTGTTTAATTCTGAAAAAGTTCAAAAGTTTTTATTTCAAGGTTGAGATATTTCCTTAACTCAACATTTCGTTAGCTAAACTAATATTTTATTCATATTGTTAAAGTTTTTTTTWAAAATAATTTGCATTTATTCTAGTATTTAAAAAAAAAAAAACAGTTTGATAGGTATATGTTACACTATGATTATCCACATTTAGAAATAAATATTTAAATTTAAACTTCAAACTGATATAATATTATTTTAATGTTTGCTCCRCTATGGTTTTGATAAATCACAATGTAAATTATTCATAAAATCAGTAATTATGAATTTCAATTACACAARTGTGTTGTTAAATTTGATTGGCTATTCTATTCATACGTTTAAAATATTTATAATATGCATTTTACATATCGTTTGTTGTAATGTCTATAACATTACGGATTCTGTTTACTTGCAATCCGRAAAGTAAGGGATACAAAAACAAAAAGTTATTATTATTTGTTATAATCCTTTGGATAAGTTGTATTTTCAATAGACACATTGTTGTGGACTTTGGTATTACTAAATTTAACTKAACAAGTAAAGTTTTACAGAAATACTGTGTTATTATTACTACTTATTCATATAATAGACGTTTTATTTCCGAATAATAGTTAAATGTTTAGTATCCATATTTTTGCGTGGGAGTTTGCTAATGCCAATATGTGCGTTTGTGTTTAGAACATTATTGGTATCGTGGTATTGTTATAATATATATATATTTTTTTTGTATTTGTATAAGTTTAATAACGGAGAGGGTTTAAGCGAGGGATTATTTCAATCGAATACGTGTTTTAGTGGTGTGCTCAAAACACGTTGTTGTATCCTGGTATTAGTCTTTTTGGATGATGTTATTATTTATACCGTCGACGTGATGACTATTTATCATATTATTATGGTGCTCGTGTACTTAACCTATATACTACACATAACGAATTATTCGCAGTGATTGAGTGTTTGTGATTATAGGGTGCATGTAACATATATATATATATACACTAAGTATATCTGGTGATTTTGTGTGTTTTGTTTATTCGTTATTTTAAATTTATTTTGTATTTTCGGAACATTTTCCCTGGGAATACAATATCTGTGAATGATTGACGTATCCGC